TGGTGTGACGTGACGCACTTGATAACCTGATAGTCTCACAGCTGGAAGAGATAAGATCGACTTGAGAGGGGGGCCCTCCAAGCATGCTCGAGTGGGGAATACGTAATCCATGATGCTTTCCTCAATGATGCGCCTCCATCCCCCACTAATATCGTGAATGCAGTACCGTAAAGACGATACTAACGGTATGATGTCATCGTATCTATAATAATAACTTACTGGAAGAATAAGCATCGTTTGTGCCATAGGCAATGATTTTGTCGTATTAAAGCATCTAAAACTTTCATCAGCGAGGTTCGGTCTGAGGGTGAGGGGCGTTTTACACTCTCCCATTCCTTCTGTTAGTTCTTGTCAGCTAACCTGTAAAGTCTTGTGCAGATAAGAACTGTTCAAGTGACCCATTTTGATCTCATGAATTCACAGGTCTTCACAAATCACCCGGTATCAAGTACAATTTGGTGCCCCCACAGAGCCAACCTGCGCACTATTATCACCCTTTCAGTTCCGCACTGAATGTGGCAATGTGATCGACCGACAGATACTTATAATTCAGTTTTATTTTCAGATGTGCAGAATTATTTGGCAAAGAAGCTGGCCTGTTTGTTGCAAGTGGAACTATGGGCAATTTATTAGCCGTCATGGCACATTGCCAACGTGGTGACGAGATCATCGTTGGCAGACACAACCATATCCATCGCTGGGAACAGGGCAACTATGCACAGCTTGCTGGTGGGTTCATATATCTTACCGAATACCTTGAAAGCACATTTCACTATGGCAAGAAGTGGACAACGGCTCTCAAGTGGGTGTTAACTGAACCGCCAGTGAAGAAAAATCTGCAGGGTTAACGAACACGTCCTGAACAAGGCATTCTTTCTTGCAGTTAGAGGCACTAAAGGAGCAAGAGCAACAACCACGAAAAACCGGGCGCGTAGACTAGAGACCAGACAACCTTAGAAGGGGAGGCATTTTTGCTTTTCCTTCTAGAACCACCAGTTAACATATGATGACGTATTAGCGTCAGTTACCTCGGGTGGGCATTTTGTAACATTCTGCTTTGCAGTCTAGTCCGCTGCGGACGAAGGGGCATGTCAGGCGGGATGCATTTGGCGCGGTGCCAAACCCGTTCTCACCAGTTGTTGAAGCGAGCAAGGTGACAGGATAAACATTTGTATCACTCGTTTTCTACCATTGTTGTCGCATACCCGCTTCAACAACTGGCAGAGAACGGTTTGGCGCCGTGGCACACTCATACTGCCTGACACGCCCCTTCATCCGCAGCGAACTAGGCATAAATACTTGAAGAATATGTTACTGCACGAAATGGGGCTATTTCAATTTTCAGTTAACACGCAGAGCATAGCGGTGGAATAATAGCTGCAATCAGGACATTTTAAACGGGAATATCCGACGAGATACACTCCTTATCCCTGAGCCAGAGTAGGCGTGGCATTTGAACATGGCACGGAACTGGTTACTCGTGGAATATTCCAGTCTGGGACAACTGTCATCTTGTTCTGTGTTGGACAGAGACACGACAACACAGTTGTGTCAAGAAATATTCCACCAGAAGCATAGACACCTTCAGGTTAAGTTGGAGAATGCAGACCACGCCTACCCGATCTCAGGGATTTCGAGTATACTCATGTTCAAATGATGTACAGTCTAGTTCGCTGCGGACCCTGGGGCGTTCCAGGTGGGTTGGCTTTGGCACCGCGCTCTCTCTTCCTATTGCGGCCGCATGATGGCTTTGACAATTGGTGGTGAACTAGCGCTGCCCCGAACGCTTGGAAAGCCGCAGCGTCCACAAAGAACAAGAAAATTTGCCGCCAGCTCATTCCACTTCAGCATAGAATACATTAGAGCGGGAGGAACAGGGGGAATCGACAGCAGGAAGAAATGCTCGACAGGGACTGCTCGGCGGTCGCTCGAAGAGCCGAGCAGTCATTTACGTACGACCCCCTCCTCCTTTCCCAGCAACCAAATATGGTCCTCTGATTCGTATTCCGCAACCATGCCTGCTGGATGGAAGAGCCGGGATGTTTAATATATTTTTTATGAAGATGGCGACTTCCCTTGTTATTTTTAAGTTTTTCGTTTATAGGTGTGAGCGCCACAACAATTGACGTCAACCCCGACGGCACGATGAATATTGAAGACATCGAAGAGGCAATTCGTGTTCAAGATAACCACATGCCAAACACACGTCTGATTTGCCTTGAAACCACCCACAACTATTCAGGAGGACGAGCGTTACCTTTAGAATATATCAAGTACCTAGCAAATAAATTACTTCGGTATGGTTCTTTTGCGCCCTTCATGTAGCCTGTAGTTCAGATCGGTACGAGAGTTGGCTTCTAAACATGGCATCAAT